AAATGCGGGGAAGGTGGACTCTCCCGCGTGTTACTTAATTGCGGGGTTATACGGAGCGGCGTTGACTCCGCTCGCTACAGTCGCCTGAGATGTTACTCCAAGGGAATGCAAGGGGAAAGGAAGTATTACGCAATCTGGGGTTTGCACTACACAAGTTCCCTCTGGAACTCACTACAATACAACAATGAACATTCAAGTACAGAATAAAAGTAAAGTTATATATTTGCTCTTTATGAGCCAAACAATGCTTTAGAAACAATAGAAAATTATGTACAAAGTCGAGCTCAAACTACCCTAAACTATATAATCACTAATGCCTTAGGCAGAAAAACATGTGATGTCACTTGAATGTCTTTAAAGTTACTATAAGAAAGTAAGATCAAAAGAGGATATCACTTTGATAAGTTCCAGCAAAAGATAAAGGTCTCTAAAGTCGCCACATAAAATAATCATGAACTCATATTAAACAATCACTATAACATTAGATGTCTTTGTTTGTGTCTTCTTCAGCAATTGTGGGATGCAGCTCTTGTCTTTGTATTCCGTTGTCTGTCCTGAAATAAAATGGCGCTCCTGGCCACGGGACCCCACTGTCTACTTATCAAGTTTATTAATGTACAACCTGGTGCAAATATTCTTAAAATCCGGAATCCAAGTTGTAATCGGGTGCAATGATCCTACTCAATGGGTGCAAAAGCCCTTATATCTCTTGATCATAGGTGCAATGTTTCTGTGTGCCCCTGTTCCTAACCAGGGTGCAACTCCTCTATATGCCCTTGTTCCTTAATCAAGGTGCATCTTGCCCCTGTTCCTTAACTTTTCGGCCCATAATCATGTATATTGCTACATAATTCTTAAGGGATTAGTTGTAAACACATTCGAGTGCAGAAATACTGAACACATATTTGTGGGTAAAACCATTGTTTTACAAGTGCAACTAAACATGAGAAATATTGATAACATGTTATTAAGATAATTTTTAATTGTTTTTTAATTCTAACAATTGATCATTTTAAATCCCTGTATACCTAAAGCTTACTTTGTAGATATCTTTAAAAACTTTAATTCAAACATTAAACAAACCAAACTCAATAAAACAAAACCCAAGATTATAAACAAGTCAGTCTGATTAGGACATGTACTTTCCTGTGAAAGGCGACTTCAAACAGATCCTGTCTATGTGCTATGATGAGATAAAGTAATATTCGAAATAAAACCCTTGGAAGAATAAACAAACCAGTATGATTACAAATAACTTCCTGTGAGTTTTATGTGATACCAGATGCTTTAGACTCATGAACTAATTGTAGAAATTCAATAAGTATTAATATTTTTCGTTTTCCCGTCTGTTAAAAGAAATGCCTGAAATTAAACCAAAACAAACGGAGCCCAATAATCTTTAGTTCCGTTAAGTCCGAAATCTTATCAATGAGAAACAAATTCATCCTGAGATATTTTACGGATATATCAATCAATTGTTTCAATTATATGCTAAGGGTTGCAAAAATGGGAGAAACACAGACAATGAGGGGGTAGATTGGATTTTCTATGTCAAGAGAGAAGCTTTTCATATATAAACATATTTGTAAGTAAGAAAACATACAAACATTTATAAGCTTCATGGGCATCAGACCATATTTGAAAACTCCCACACTCTTCACAGACAGGATATCCAGGGGACTTAACTTTATTGCAGTCTTTTATCTGTACTAGGTTTTATGAAGCACTACTTTTAATTCCTCATTATTTTTAATATCTCTGATTATTAGATATAAACAATAATACCCTTTGAAATCAAACCAACCTGCTATATAAAAATTGGCCCTGACCATGTTGCTAACAATCTACAGTATTCATTTGGGTACACCCCTGTCTGAAAACCACTTCTCTCACTTTGAATTCCATCCATTGCATGGTGTTACCAGAAAGGCAGGAACGGGGGATTCATTTTACATTGTGATTCTAAAAAAAGGTTATTAAAACACAACATATACAAGTATTAAGGAACAGTTTATCTTATCTTCTTCAATCTCTTTTATAAAGGCAAAATAAAATGAAACATTTTGAAACAGAAAAAATAAGTTAACGCATAGAACTTTAAGAATAAAACAGTATGCATATTACGTTGTCAAAATATTTCGTCGCATTTTATTTCTTAGTCTCTTTCTCTTATCAAATCGTAAAAGAAGAAAACATTCTAAACTTAATCACTTTGGGATCAACTGGAAATGAAGACAGGCTATCCTTGTATCAAAATGGATGTTCTCCCATTCGCAAGAACTTTCATTTTCACCATGTACTCACTTCATCAGTTTGAATTTAATCTCTATTTCTCGAACAGAATACATAAGTGAAGAATAGGTTTTGATTTCAAAAGATGTTCATGTCAACTTTACTTAATCAATGCCCACCGGCTTGGGAAAGCCATTGCTGCCATAGTTTTGGTCAACTTCCGCCTATTCGTCACCGATCAAGAAACAGCGCGCCTTACTCTGCAGTATCCAGCACTGCATAGGCTAATCACTTATTTTGAGAGGAATTACATTGGGCAAATAGTAGTGCTATTTGGAGACCACCCACATTTGAGACTGGTATGTTCAACGTTTGGAACCGACCTATGACCCTAAGAACCAACAACAGTGTTGAATGTAAGCTTTTATGTTGGTATGCTTGTATTGTTTAGAAGTAGGTTTTTCATCACCAAATGTTACGAGTTGTTTTAGGGATGGCGTATGTAATCATTGTTAAAATGTGCCAAATTTAATACATTCAATACTAGATTAGTATGTCATTAATCAATTGTTAAAAACTTTCTCTACTGCATACTTAATTCCAAAACATTTATCCTTGCCAATACTTCAAACCCTATAATCTTTCTGTTTTTGCAATGCCAGTCCTATTTTCATGTCTATTAGACCAATTAAAAAGAAGTTTAAAACCGAAATAAAAAGAGAAGACAAAATATGCCTTCCTCGGCTCCTGAGTAATTTGAATGCAATTGGCTAAGAGGTATAAAACAAGATGACATTCGCGTACATCAAAATAATGATCTGTGCATCAAACTGTAATCTCGTGGATTACAAGTAAACAACGTCCGAGGTGGGAGGAGACACAAACAAAGATCAAATACTCAAAGGTTACTGGGCTTAATGGGATAGACTGCGCATTTTCAATGAGATTCTGTATCGTAAATACATTAACGAAAGCACCCATGAAATTCAATGGCAACTGATCGTTCCAGTTTCTTTTCAAGAGACAATAATGTGGAGTTTACATGAAGAAGGCCATTTAGGGGGTCAACAAAACATTGAAACGCGTTCAGTCAAAATACTATGGGTCCGGGTATAAAACCAAAATTGAAAACTTTATTCAAATATGCTTATTGTGCCAGCAAAGTAGAAATCCCCAGCGAACGCCCAGGGCTCCTATGACACAATATTATGTCGGGTTTCCCCTAGAACGGGTAGCGTTAGATATTCTTGGTCCTCTCGTTGAAAGTACAAGTGGAAACAAGTATGTGCTTGTTATCCAAGATACTTATCACAAAGTAAACAGAAGTGTTAGCAATGCCAAATCAAGAAGCTATTACAGTGGCAAATGCATTTCTAAAAGAATTAGTTTGCCGCTATTGTTCACTGCGCACCTTGCATTCAGATCAAGGTCGGCAATTTGAATCACATCTTTTTCCTTCATCTTAAACATTGACAAGACACGCATGACCGCTTTCACCCGATTAGCGACGGTATGGTGGAAAGGCTCAATCACATGCTTGAGTGCATGCTCAGTAAAGTCGTTGACAAGGCCTCAGCGTACTGGAGCGCCGTTCACGAATCAACCAGATTCAGCCCTGCTAAACTAATGTTTGGGTATCAACCGGATCAAACAGCGCACTGTCAAAAGTAACAGGACCAGTTATTGACCGTTTATGATGCGGCAAGTGACAAAATTAAAATATCAAGTGATAATCAAAAGCGAAATTATGATCATCAGGCTTTTTAATCTAAATTTGAGAAGGGTGACAATGTTTGGTTATTTAATCCAGCAGTTCCAAGGGGAATAAGCCCAAAATTGCATAGAAAATGGACCGGCCCATTCACCATTGTAAACAAACTATCCGATCTTGTGTTTGAAATTCAGTGGGAGAAATTCATCAGGGTAGTCCATGCGAACCGCTTCAAACAGTTTTTTCGGCACCCTGCCAAATTTGATGGTGACAGCAAATGCACAGAATATTGACGAAGTAAATAAAGAAACCGTAGAAAGCGAAAATGAAATCAATATGTTATAAAACAATGACACATTAACAGAACGCAGAGGGAGGGAACATAAAAAGCCATTGTGGATGAAAGATTATATTACCGAAAATTAATTATCAGTTGAGCCTGATTAATATTGTGCATACTTATGTAAAGCAAGAAAGTTTACCATTGCATATGTTAACTTATGTAAGTGTTCTTTTATTCATTTATAACGATAGTCTAGACCCTATATATACTCATGAGTGTTGTGCATGTAAATAAACGATTAGTTTTGCGCCAGTTATATTGGAGGTTAAACGTAGAATAGAGATATTGTGAAATACTACTAAGTTGTAAAAAATTAATGCAATGAGCAAGAGTTTATGCATTTCATAAAAATTGATAGTTTGGCTAAAATCCTTTGCACAATTTATATGTGCCGCTACTTTAGTTCATCACACATCTTATAAATAATAGGTAGAACAAATTTGCGATTTAAGTAATTAAGCATGCAACTGGTAGTTTGTGCGATTAATATAATTAAAAGCGATTTGGTATATGAACGTAGCATAACGCGAAAATATGTAGTGTAAAATTTATATCGAACCATTAGCAAAATACTTTGTATTGTTGGATAAACGTTATTGTAAAAAAATACAGTAATTATTATGAAAATAAAAAATGAAAACATATGTGTATCTTGTTGAATTGGCTAGTTATTGCAAGACAATTAATTTATTCCATTCGTGTCTGTTCTGTCCCATGAAGGTGGAAAATGTGTATGACCTAGTACATCACTATGAGACAAGTGATACTCCACGATTTAAATGCCCATATGAGTCGTGTGAATTCAGTAGGAAACATTCCTTACCTGAAATGGTCATTAATCATATCATTTTAGCGCACATTGTCCCACAATATGCTAGTGCCAAGTACAGGGACCAATGGTGTTGCCGTTTCATGGACAATTTACGAACCCAGCCAGTGGAGCATGCAGAATTATATGAAAACATGAATTTGGGAAGCAAAAGGTTTTATGCTTCCCAATCGCCAATCAAAACTTGCCATTATTCTCCAATGGGTAATGACTTATCTGGAACTAGCAACAGTGACACTTCTCAACCTGGTCACATGTCACCTTGTGAGTCAGGAAACAACAGTTCGTGGACGGAACAATCCCCTGGTCAGTTTAACTGGACCCCCAGTGACATCATGAGCCAGGAAGAGGCAATGCTCTGGGATATGAGACTGACTGCCTCTGATATAAAACATGTGGTCCATGTCCCCTCAATGTATCCACCTATGGTGCAACCAGAGTCAGAAGAAGAGGAACTGTCAAAATAACAACCAGAACAACAGGCACAACCACAACCTGAGGCAGCACAACCTGAAGCAGCACAACCACAGGAGCAACAAGAACAACCAGAAGCACAACCACAAGAACAACCAACCCACAATTTCTGGAGGGCCTGGTGATTCCAATTTAACATTTAACTTTGTGAAGGTTCTGGAAGTGACACTTATCCTATTGTTTAATATGGATATCATATCATCATGTGTGGCAGTCTTCAAAGAATTAAGATTCCCCTCTAAATGATGACATCACCATCCCTAGACTACTCAAGGAAAATATGTCTGCTTCCCTTCGTGAAGATGTCACAGTCCAGTTGTATGATGGCCCCAAGAAGCCTGATATGCCCCAAGCTGCTACATTGACTAATGTCATGTCACAAGCATTGCTACATGACCAACGCATTGCTTTAACCCATGCTCAAAATCAGGACTTTGATTTCCTCTGTGATGTAACAAGAGGTAAGCTAATTCCAGAGTATGGTGGGTACAATACAAAGTCAGCGAGGGAAAAGGGACATACAGCAAGAGCAGCTACCACCGCAACATACCAACCTCTCATTGATATGAAGCAAGCAGATCCAAGCACAATGATGACAATGAAGCTCAGAGGTTAACCAATGACTGTGGCCAAGAATATACCATATCTATGAATGACCAACAGCTCTACAAGATAGCAGTGTCTGTGCAATGGCATAACCCTGAGCGTTTTCCTAAATACATCAATAGACTCGGTGGTATGCATATGCTAATGAGTTTCATTGGATCTGTAGGAATGCTCATGTCTGAAAGTGGGATCCAGCAGTTATTAGAGGCTTCCTTTACAGGTGTACCAAAAATGCTGAGTGGAAAGAATTACCCTCAGAATTTTAGGGCTCTTCGAATGTTAACTGAGGAACTTCTTCGTCCAGTTGTTGAAGAGGTTGGTAGTTTCACTGAACTAATAGACATGTTGGAGAACAGAGCAACCAGTAGCCCCACTACCAAACATGGTGCAGAACCTGGTTAAACCAGTCCTCATAATGATGGTGTTCACAAGAGCAGAGCGAGAGGCAGAGTGGTTGCTACATTTGTGGGCAGTTAAAGAAATGCTCCCATATTTCTTTGCCTCTGGTCACATCAACTATGCCAGATGGGGGCTGTATTATCTGGGAGACATGGAACGTCTCCCAGAAGCTGTCCAAAAGGCCTTCTTGAGGGGAGAGCATGTCACAAGGCATAAAGCAGGTCTGTGGAATGGAATGTGGACGGACATGTTTATTGAGACAACATTCATGAGGCATGGACATGGTCCAGGTGGCATTGTTGGGTTAACCTTGAAACCAGAAACCATGAAACGATGGGCATATAGTCTCCATATATGTAGCCAGCTGAACAAAGACTTATTGGACCTCAAAGACGTTAAGACAGATGACACAATCCGTTCACACAAAGAAGAAGGTGCAAGCAGAGTAGGAGATGACAGTGATGATAGATCAAAGCTAAAGGAAAGACTTTCAAGCTGCATTGATCCACTAAACCCAGATAATCATGGCGACAAATTGCTGAATATCGTTACTGGTTGTATAAGCCAAATCAATTTCAAAGGTATCAATTCATCCTAACAGATGTTTGATTGTTTCAGGTTGTTACCATGGCTGTGACAAAGAAAAGGGTTCAGATAGAGCAGACTGCAGTCTATGATACAGAATTGATATATTCAAGAGTGATAGGTCTCCTAACCACTAGAGACATAGATGTACCGAATCTTCTAAGTCATGAGCTTGCCCCTATTCCTACGTTACTATTCAAAGAAGATGGTGAAATGAGAATTGCATCATGGCATCATGGCAGTGCAATTTTGTGGATTATTACCTGGCCACTTGTAGGAACTGTATGTGACTACGTCAGGAGCTTTACAGGGTATATCTGTTCAAAATTAGCAAATGCTGATGTCAACCTCATTTTTGACAGGTATTACAAATATAGTACCAAGGGATGTACACGATCATCAAGAACCAAATCTGCTAGCAGAATCCACAAACTAAAACCTAAATACCCCACTCCCCCCTCAAACTGTCACACTTACAGTTACAAGGAACAAGATGCAACTTGTACAGTTGATTTGTGATGACTTACAAAAAGAGGTCAAGGAAAGAAATATTGCCTACACTCTGATTGTTACAGCGCATCATCATGTACCATACCAAATTAAGCAGTGTGTCATCTCTCTAAGAATTGACCTGACCAACACGCACGCACGAGGAGGCAGACAACATCATTACACATCAGATGCTGAATCAATGCAGGAATACAGAGTTCAGCGTCAATGTGATCTGTGATGACACTGATGTATTTCTCCTATTAATACACCACTACATCAAGCACAATCTAACAAACCATATCACAATGCACCACAGATATAAGGAAAACTGCAAAAAAAGCATGAACATATAGCTGATCAGCTTTTAGCTGCCCATTCTCTATCTGGCTGCGACACAGTTGGACAAATGTATGGTATAGGGAAAGTGATAGTCCTAAAACTTCTCCAATCTAGCCACACTTTGAACACTATTGGAAATAAGGATGCCAACTTAACCAGTGTTATACCAGAAGCGACCAATTTTGTTGCACACTGCTATGGGGTCAAACCTACTGTGGATTCAGCTAAGTCAGATATTCGATATGAGGTTTGGAGAAAGAAACATTCTAAAAGAGCTATTACATCAGCCCCAAAGTTGAATACTTTGACACCCACAACAGAGGCATTTACAGAAAATACCAAGCGTGCCCACTTCCAAGCTTGTCAATGGAAATATGCAGATCAGCCCAATCCTCCTGATCTTGATGTGTTAGAGTATGGATGGGAAAGAGATGAAATTGCCAAGGTTTTATTACCTATTCAAATTCCAGCTAACACCCCCTGTGCTCCACAAAGTGTTTTAAAATTGATCCGATGCAACTGTACCACATCTGAAACTACATGTACATCTGGAAGGTGCACATGTCATCCTGCAAATTTGTCTTGTACACTATTCTGCAATTGTAAAGGTCAAGAAGAATGCTATAATGAACAAACTAAAAGAGCCACAGATAATAGTACTGTGGAAGATCACCTTAGTTAAAGGACAACACCCTGACAACACTATACCTGACTTTTGTATGATGTTCCTTTTCTGAAGTAACGTTGATATATGGTGATATATTTTTCGAAACATAAGCTGAACTGATATGTGCCGAGTCTGCAATTTCATACCTTCTTTGAAAGTATTTTTCAATGCGATTGTAAAAACTCATTTACACTTTATAGAAACTGAAAGAATCATAATGCATTTCATGCTTTGATACTGAAAAATAGCAATGGAATTTTTCAATAAATATGTACTGCCAAGAACTATTTTGAACACGTGTACTTCTATTTAAAGATCAAAAATTGAAATATAGAGGAATTGAAAGAATTGGACACATTAATATGTTTTGATATCTCAATCTATTTTGAATTTGGACACATATGTGTGTTCAACACTTAGATGGAAAACATCAAACCAGTATAATATCTCACGAATATTGAAAATTACATACTACGCTGTACAAAATGCAAACAATTAGCGCATCTCATTAATTATTATGTAGAATTGAATGGTAATAGTCTACAATGATATATATATGTAGTATCCATTTCCATAGAGAAAATCAGTTAACCCATGTGCTGAACGAATCTATATGTGATGGTATGTAAAAAAGTGCCATGCCCACTTCTGAAATGATTACATAATTTGAATGCTAATTTATAAAAAATGCTCAACTTGCACAATTTTGCATCTTCCTAATATTTTATGTGGACATGATAAGGTATCCAAAAATGCAAAGAAAAAACAAACTTTCTACTACAAAATGACCCCTACTATCCCTACCGCTAGACTATATAATTATAATTCTGCCTGTAATTAAACAAATACATAGACATATGTTATTGCCTGTAAATTGTCAGCAGCCATATCAAATCCTATGGAGGAAACTCACTAAGGGGATTGCACAGCGTAAGGCAAATTTTACGGAAAGTGTGGAAAGCAAAACAATCTAGATAAGCCTTGCAAATCGAGCATCCCCTCCCAACAATACAGTGAGTGATTGACGGCAATAGCTTCATAGCACTTAATAAAGCCAAAGCACTGAAACCTGTATCTGAATCAGTGTATGCATTCACAGGAAAATCTCCATTACAATTCGTTCATTAGTGAGCCATGTATCCCTATACTATCATATGATGCAGCCCTCAAGTTGAATCTAATTAAGATCACCTACAATTGAGGGTCTGATCCAATACCTTCCATAAAAAAGGATATTCCAAAACCCGAAAGCGCCATCTTTAATGGAAAATGAAAATTGAAAGATCATCAAGTTCATTCACACATAGATGAAAGTGACCCCCAATCGCACAAATACATGTATGCATATCCTTCCACCCATAAAGTATATTTGCACCCGGTCGCACCTTGAATAAAGGATTTTTAAGGATATTTGCACCAGGTTGCACCCATAATGGACGTTTGCACCCATAACAGGCATTTGCACCTGGTTTCACCTCAGATAAAGGATTTTTAGGATATTTGCAATATTGAATAAGGGAACCTAAAAACATTTGCACCAGGTTGTGCACATTAGTAAACTTGATTAGTAGATAGTTGGGTCCCATGGCCAGGGGCGCCATTTTTATTTCAGGACAGTCGACAGCATACAAAGGGCAGCATCTCACAACTGCCAAAGAAGTCATAACCAGAGACAACTAGTTAATTTTGAATCCCAAGATTGCGTAATACTTTCTTTCCCCTTACATTCCCACAGAGTAACATCTCAGGCAACTGTAGCGAGAAAAGTCAATGCTGCTCCGTATAATCCCGCAATTAAGTAACATGTAGGAGAGCCCACCTCCACCCATTTCCTGGCATTCCTGACCAGAGCCGTGCCCTGGGAAAAACATTACTGAGCTAGGATAATTATTTTGTTTCAAAGAATTCTGCTCAAGAGATCTTTCAATTTTTAGAAATGCATAATGCCATATAAATCTATACCTGGAAAACGATTTGCTTTATAAAAAGGAACCAGGGGAACAATATCAATACTAAATGTAACAAAAAATTGGGTTGTCCTATTAAATAATCTTGACAGGTGAGAGAGTAAATGCAGTTAAGATGGTATATACAGAATAAGAACTATTTTTTGTTCCATTTATCTTCTATCTGTATGCAGGTACACATGTCAATTTTGCAATTTCTGATTTTAACAGCATCCTTTCAGATATTGTCATAAGTGGTGTTGAGGACCCTGGGCATTCAAGTGCAGCATATGTCAACACCCTGAAAGTACAATAATATACGACAAGGTCAACACTGAAGAGAATCAATGTATTAATCATAAATAGCAATACTTTTAACAACAAAGGGCATGGGAAGTTAATGAGCTGAGTGACATGAGGTTAATAGTCTGCCTAGAAATCAACTGACCTGAACGTGTATGTAAACTACAGGGTGGTCAAAAACTGGAAACCCTGCATTTACCTCATGTCTATGAAATTTCAGGAAATTACTCCCTGATATTTATCACATTTGTGGTTATAATGAAAACGCAGGCCAATTTT